GATTATTTTTGTTAATTAAGATATTTAAGATTCAATAAATTTAAAAGAAAAACAAATTCTCTTTGTATCAATTTACATAAAACCTTTTCAGTCAATTTACTGAAATATTTTCTTTATTCCTGAAAAATGATAATAGTCCATAGATAATAATTATTTTGTTATTTAAGATTCAATAAATTTAAAGAAAACAAATTCTCTTTGTATCAATTTACATAAAACTTTTCAGTCAATTTACTGAAATATTTCTTATTCCTGAAAAATGATAATAGTCCATAGATAATAATTATTTTGTTATTTAAGATTCAATAAATTTAAAAGAAAACAAATTCTCTTTGTATCAATTTACATAAAACCTTTTCAGTCAATTTACTGAAATATTTCTTATTCCTGAAAAATGATAATAGTCCATAGATAATAATTATTTTGTTATTTAAGTAGTGATGATAGTATTGTGCTGGGGCGGCGTAAGCCAATGGTGATGAGTATGCTACTTTAGCAACTGGGGCAGCTGCGTAAGCTACTTTGGCGACTGGGGCGGCGTAAGCTACTGGGGCAGCTACTTTAGCTACCAAAGGTTCACGATGGACGACGGCGTTGAATCCGTGGATTGGGTCAGCTGTGTATTCTACAGTCCTCTTGAAACCGTCAGCATCGACGAGAGAGTAGCTACCTTGAACGGCATCTCCGTTACGAGTTTCGTGCTGATTCTTGCTATCGCCTGTAAGTCCATCGTGAACTTCGTATCCGTAAGAGTACTGTGGGTTCGGGTCATATTCCTCAGCTACTTTAGTTATTACAGGTGCAGCTACTTTAGCTACCAGTGGCGTGGAGTAAGCTAATGGGGCGGCGTACGGAGAGTTAATAAGTCCCGCATTGGCGACGGCCAAAAGGGCTGCGAAGGAGATGAACTGAAAACGAAAAATGGATTAAGTGAAATATCGCGCTTTACCATGAACGTACTTTGAATGCCATTGTTCTTGTCGTGGTGGAACGAAGGTGGTAGAGAGAATGCTTGGATTTCGGGCCTCATTCTTTTTATATACATACACGTACCATTCTTCGGATCCCACACGCGCTGCTGCTTTCTTACGGTCCAAATCTAGTTCACACGCAACGCTCGCCGCACCCCTCGTTCAAGGTCTCAAACCCGATCCGTGTTATATAATCTCTTTTGTTGTGTTACCAATACGTGAAAACGACGACAGCAACCAAAAAAGTACAGAAAGGTGTACAACGCAGAAAGCCATATGCTCGATTTACATCTGGAGCGTAATAACTTAATCGGATTATATGTTACTAAATCATATTTGCTATATTGAATTCCTGAAAAAAATAATAATATGTGAACTACTTGAAAATATATAGTAACCAATTTGTCTATCGCTTCACTCGATGTACTTTTCTCGCATTTTTAGTGCAATGAGCTATATAGCATAGATAAAGCAAGCATTTTCTATGGATTCTCTTTTGTTTCGAACGAAATCAATCAATTGGCGTAAACCCATATGCGACGGAGCAAAGCTTCTTAACATAATCCATCATACATTCAGCGTACATTCATTCACTATTAACACAATTAAATGCAGCTAAAAAAACAATTACACATTTCCTAATTCAATATATTTTCCATTTATTTTGTCTCTGAATCGATTTTAATTCAATTCTGATGTAAATTTATAAAACAATTATCGCCTTGTGCATTGCGCGCACATAGTCTGCACCGCATCATGTTATTACGCGACATCTACGTTTTATCGCTCGTTTCTTTATAACTTTTAACGTTGATTGCATTATCAACTATGAATGGTTATTATCCTCGGTCGCAGTTTACACCCGGTGTTATTATCCACGAAACATACACTTGAATTCATAGTTACTACATAGTTATGTTGTTATACTATATATTTTTTTAATTGCATACAAAAAATCCAATTAAAAAATTGTATAGAACAATATCAAATTAAACTTTCAAACAAATATATTCCTTTACTTATAAAGTGCATATATATCATAACAAATCTGGTCACTAGAGGCGCCACAGTAGAAGTTCCCTTGAACAGCATTTGTACACGCAACACACACCGCTCTTTCCGTGTTGTACATTTATTTATCTTTTTTTGCCCATAACTGCGACACCTCATCTATCTTCATTCATTCATACGTTCATTCATTCATCATGTATTTCGCTCCGACCGTGGCGGCATTTCCCCCCCAGGTACATTTCAACCATGACCCGACACCACAGTTATAAAATAAAATTACAGGAATTCATTGAATTTAAATAAATCTTTTGTTTATGTATAAAATTAAAAATTAAACACTTACCCAATGAATCAGACAAATCCAGTGTAAATTTAACAGTTTAAAGTAGTCTATTCACAAAACACTCACTTGTAGAATATTCCTATTACTAACCTTGGCTTCACTAAAACTGTATGATTGAGTAACTATCACAATTCACTTTAATACACAGTAATATCTTGTGATATTAATTCACTTTTTTTCTTTTTAATGATAGGATAATTGGGATAGTCGATAGTCGATTGTATAATAAATACTGCTTTTAAATAGGTTACTTCTCAAGACAGAAACAATTTCAGTAATATAAGGTGTATATGGTTTTATTGAGATTCAAATAATTTAACTATGGCAAAGGTGGTAACTTAGTGGTGGTAGTAGTGGGCTGGGGCAGCGGCGTAAGCTACTTTAGCTACTGGGGCGGAGTAGGCCAATGGGGTGGAGTAGGCAACTTTAGCGACTGGGGCGGCGGCATAAGCTACTGGAGCAGCGGCGTAAGCTACTTTGGCGACTGGGGCAGCGGCGTAATGGACTGGGGCAGCAGCGTAAGCTACTTTGGCGACTGGAGCGGCGTAATGTACTGGGGCAGCTACTTTGGCGACGACTGGGGCAGCTACTTTAGACACCCAAAGGTTCACGGTGGACGACGGCGTTGAATCCGTGGAGGAGTCAGCGGTGTATTCTACAGTCCTCTTGAAACCGTCAGCATCAACCAAAGAGTAGCTACCTTGGACGGCATCTCCGTTACGGGTTTCGTGTTGGGTCTTGCTGTCTCCGGTCAAAGCATCTTGGACATCGTATCCGTAAGAGTATTGAGGGTTTGGGTCGTATTCCTCAGCTACCTTAGCTACCACTGGGGCGGAGTAAGCCAATTTAGCGACTGGGGCAGCAGAGTAAGCCAATGGGGCGGCGGCGTATTGGGTGCCGATAAATCCAGCGTTGGCAGCAGCCAAAAGGGTTGCGAAAGCTACGAACTGTAAAACCACAATTACTTAACATGAAAAAAAAAATATAATGATTTTGTTCATACCTTGAAAGCCATTGTTGATTGATTTAGGAATTGTTGAATTCTGATTTGACGAAAGTTTAGATACCACATTTTATACCCAAAATCCCCACTAGACAACCAAAAAGAAATTGACCTCGACCACACCAATCTAATGATATAATGTACCGATTTGAACTACTTTTTTTTTTACTTTGTTTTAGTTTAAAATTAATTACTTTCTAAAGTATTTGCACCACATTACGCAACACCAAATTTTACCATATACAAAATATAAATTAGCGAAATTTTAATAGTTATAATGATCATTTCAATATGAATTAATTATTATAAATTAACTTTACTAAATGTAGGTTTTCTCAATAGCATTAAGAAAAATACGATAATTGAGAAGAAATAAATTTATCATCGTTTTATACTGTATATTAATAATATAGTGCAACTAAAATAATATATTAAAACGAAATAAACATTGTTTAATTGTATTTCATCATCTTACAATTAAATTTAAATAAAAGCTGTTTTATTTACTCCAGTTAAAGCGTACGGCTTCATTAACTCAATGCACAAGAAAATATTCCTTTATATTTTTCGCTTTGAACTAGTAGTATTGCTTTTGGCAATTTCTTGATCGTATTTACAACGTTCGGCAGATGCAGTTATTCTTTACGCTTGGAACTCTTTCATCGAATTCTATTTGATCTCCACTTTGCATATTAAGAGGAATTTATTTCTATTTTTTTTTCAATATATATTTTTCCTATATATAAGAGATTATGGTTATAAAAGTAATGTATTTTTTTTCTATCCAATTTAAGGAATTTATTTTAATGATAAGGGTTAAAATTAATTGGTTTGTAGGTTTCTTTTTCGTGTGATTTATTGAGGTATAAATAATTTAACTATTGTTGACATTTGATCATTTAGTGATGGTAGTAGTGGGCTGGGGCGGCGGCGTAAGCTACTTTAGCTACTGGGGCGGAGTAGGCCAATGGGGTGGAGTAGGCTACTTTGCGACTGGGGCGGCGGCTAAGTACTGGCAGCGGCGTAAGCTACTTTGGCGACTGGGGCGGCGGCGTAATGTACTGGGCAGCGGCGTAAGCTACTTTGGCGACTGGGGCGGCGTAATGTACTGGGGCAGCGGCGTAAGCTACTGGGGCAGCTACTTTGGCGACAACTGGGGCGGCTACTTTAACTCCCAAAGGTTCACGGTGGACGACGGCGTTGAATCCATGGACGGAGTCAGCGGTGTATTCTACAGTCCTCTTGAAACCTCAGCATCAACCAAAGAGTAGCTACCTTGGACGGCATCTCCGTTACGGGTTTCGTGTTGGGTCTTGCTGTCTCCGGTCAAAGCGTCTTGGACATCGTATCCGTAAGAGTATTGTGGGTTTGGGTCGTATTCCTCAGCAACCTTGGTTACTACTGGGGCGGCGTATCCCAATTTAGCAACTGGGGCGGAGTAAGCCAATGGGGCGGCGGCGTATTGGGTGCCGATAAGACCAGCGTTGGCAGCAGCCAAAAGGGTGGCGAAAGCTACAAACTATAAAGAAAAAATGAATGATTTAATTAACAACTCAAGATTTTTTTTATATATATTCAATTTACTTTGAAAGCCATTGTTGATTGATTAGTGGAATTGTGAATTCTGATTAAACCAAGTATCTGTTTTCCGTTTTATACTTCGTGATCTCTTTCTCCCACTCTTCAGATGCGAAAGAAATTGGTTTAGAATAAAGAGGAAGGTCGATGTTGTTTCGGACTGACGTGATTTTCTTTTTTTTTTCTCTCTTCTTGCTGTCGAGTCGATCACTTTTCCCATTAATAACTTTCGAAAATATTTGCATCGAATTACGCAATAAATGAGATACATTTGCGGATCTAGACAAAAAAAATAGAATTATTTTTATTTCAAAATTTAGACTAAAAATTATTAACATTTGAAAGTTTGCAGTATTTAATTTAACTAAAAAAAATATTTCTTTTCCTATATTTTAATTTTATTTTTTGATATAAGTTAGATTTGTTACAAACTTTTTATGAAAACTTTATTTCAATAATTCTAAGTATAAAATTTATAAGAAACCTTTTAATAATAACTTAAATTCTGATAATATTCATTTAATTTATATGTCATTATGAATTTAACAATATTGTGTTTTATTAGTGATCATTTTTATTGTTCTATAAATATTAGAATATTAATTACAGATAGACTAAAATTATTTAGTTCATTCCATTTCAGTAATATTTTTCAAAAAAAAAATATAAAAAAATAATAATTATTTTTTTTTTATTTTCAATAGTTCTCGTTTATTTCAATTAATAATAATTTAATAAATAGAAATATTTCGGACAATTTTTCGTTGATCCAAATTATAGAAAAGTTGTATTGAGAAAAAATAAATCAAGTTATTTAAAGCAATTTTTTCTGCTTTATTTTTTATGAAATTACTTGTTAATTATTTTTTTAAATTGCTCTTAATTCGTATTGATAAATCTTCATCATGGCTTAATCAAAGAATAATGAAGAAATTAAAGTTTTCAATTATTTTATTCAAATATAAATATACACAATTTCGTTAATTTAATGGTGGTAGTAGTGAGCTGGGGCAGCGGCGTAAGCTACTTTAGCTACTGGGGCGGCGTAGGACAATGGAGCGGAGTAGGCTACTTTGGCGACTGGGGCGGCGGCGTAATGTACTGGGGCAGCGGCATAAGCTACTGGAGCGGCGGAGTAAGCTACTTTGGCGACTGGGGCGGCGGCGTAATGTACTGGGGCGGCGGAGTAAGCTACTGGGAGGCGGCGGCGTAATGTACTGGGGCAGCGGCGTAATGTACTGGGGCAGCTACTTTGGCGACGACTGGGGCAGCTACTTTGACACCCAAAGGTTCACGGTGGACGACGGCGTTGAATCCTGGATGGAGTCAGCGGTGTATTCTACAGTCCTCTTGAAACCGTCAGCATCAACCAAAGAGTAGCTACCTTGGACACATCTCCGTTACGGGTTTCGTGTTGGGTCTTGCTGTCTCCGGTCAAAGCATCTTGGACATCGTATCCGTAAGAGTATTGTGGGTTTGGGTCGTATTCCTCAGCAACCTTAGCTACCACTGGGGCGGAGTAAGCCAATTTAGCAACTGGGGCAGCAGAGTAAGCCAATGGGGCGGCGGCGTATTGGGTGCCGATGAGACCGGCGTTGGCGGCAGCCAAGAGGGTGGCGAAAGCTACGAACTGAAATCAAACATTTATCGATTAGAATTAGTGTAAAGAACTTTATCTGAATCTGAACCTACTTTGAAAGCCATTGTTGCTGATTTGAGAGCAGATTAGTTTCTGATCATTCTCCGCTCGGTGGGCCACATTTTATAGTCAGCTGAAATTGGGCTGCACCGAAAATTATACGAGACCAGTCTTTGCCTCTTTTCACTTTTACTCGTGAACCACACCTGTTCTCAAGGTCACGGCTCCTTCGATCCTCGTTCTTATACACACACCATTCTTCGTTTTCGATTATTCAATAGAAACATCCGCCCGCCCCGCTTTCACGATATTCTGCAATTCTTGAAAAGTCGCTTCGCATATGCGACGGTTTTCACTTAAATTTAAAATTTATAGAGTAAACGCGTAAAACGAATTTATTTAGAAATTCCACGTAGCACTACATACTAATAAGTCTTTGTTCTTTATATAACACGTTACCATTGCATTAGATTATATACAATACTCATACTTTATTTCATTCAATTGAACCACATTCGTTTTAATGTATTGCATATTTTACATAAAAATAACAAATTAACTTATGCAAAACTAGAATTTTACACATTTTTCAATAAACAAAATCTTAAGAAACCATCTCCAAAACTTAACAAATTGATTGAATCAATTTTAATTAATTCAGAAAATCCTTTTTTACTAACTAACATCGAAATAATAATAAATACAGTTATAATTCTATTAAGCGCGCATATTATAGTTTATATCCAATTTTGCAAAATTTTCGATGAATATTACGGAATGAGCGTGTTTGATAATATTCGAGCATTTAAAAATAACGACTGTTATTGCGTTAAAATGCTGAGCGTTCCACGCTTTAATTATTTGAAAATAATTAGCAATGTAGTCTGTTTGCGTTGACGATGAGCAATTATCGGAGTCGGCTGAGCGTATGATCATTCGACAAGGCGCGAATGATGAATATTTGTGTCTGTATTTTTCGGTTTGTTTCATTTAGTTCGAAATTCACGTTTTGTAGACACAATAATTCGATGCGATTATGTTCGTTTTTGTTGAATAACTGAATTTAGTAGTAGTTACTAATTATTTCGGGAGTTGAATTGTAGTAATATATAAGATTTTATGTTTTAGTTATATGTACATTTATTGAGTTTTAAATAATTTATACAATGTTGGGGTTTTTATTTAATGGTGGTAGTAGTGAGCTGGGGCGGCGGCGTAAGCTACTTTAGCTACTGGGGCGGAGTAGGCCAATGGGGTGGAGTAGGCTACTTTGCGACTGGGGCGGCGGCGTAATGTACTGGAGCGCGCGGTAAGCTACTTTGGCGACTGGGGCGGCGGCGTAATGTACTGGGGCAGCGGCGTAAGCTACTGGGGCAGCTACTTTGCGACAACTGGGGCGGCTACTTTAACTCCCAAAGGTTCACGGTGGACGACGGCGTTGAATCCTGGACGGATCAGCGGTGTATTCTACGGTCCTCTTGAAACCGTCAGCATCAACCAAGAGTAGCTACCTTGGACGGCATCTCCGTTCGGGTTTCGTGTTGGGTCTTGCTGTCTCCGGTCAAAGCATCTTGGACATCGTATCCGTAAGAGTATTGTGGGTTTGGGTCGTATTCCTCAGCAACCTTGGTTACTACTGGGGCGGCGTATCCCAATTGGCAATTGGGGCGGAGTAAGCCAATGGGGCGGCGGCGTATTGGGTGCCGATGAGTCCAGCGTTGGCAGCAGCCAAAAGGGTGGCGAAAGCTACAAACTACAATGAAAAAAATAATAATTTTATAAGAAAATTTAACAA